TGGGGCAGACCTGAGGAGTTGCTTGGCAGCTTTGAATCCTAGGGTGTCTGTGTGGGGCAGTGGTGCCCCGGGCGGGGTATCCTCATTCATGGTGAACTGAGTGGTTGCAGGGAGGGCCAAGGCAGAAGGCTAGGGCAGGCACAGCCTGCTGCTTTCTGGATGAGCATGTCCCCAGGAAGCCTCATCCTCTCCCCACCCCTCTACCTGCAGAGTGAAGGAGGTGTACAGGCTGGAGGAGATGGAGAAGATTTTCCTCAGGTGAGTGACTCAACCCAGTGCAGTTTGGGATTTAAGTCAAGTTGAGGATTCGTTTTTTTTTTTTTTTTTTTTTTTTTGTAGAGACAGGTTGTGGGTAGGGTGCAGAGGTAGCGATGCTCCCATCCCCTTCTCAGGGCCTCTGTGTGGCTCTGCTGCAGCCTGTAACCCCCCCCAGCTGACTCAGCACCCTGTCAGGAGGGGAGCAGGGCGGACATGTGTCAGGCAGAAATATGGGCTCATTGATGCTGTAATAGTTACGATTGTTCCTGYGAGGGGCAGAGCAGCAAGCTGCTGGGAACACTATAAATCCCAGCTCCTAGTGCTGAGAGAGACTGAGCCTGGAGGGGACCAAGGGGGCATAAACGCTTCCTCATATTCTTCACGATGTGTGGGGTGCATGGCACTTGCAGATCTGATTCTCAGTATGGGAGTGAGGCTGGCTCTCAGTGCTCTCTGGGAGGCGGTTACTGTTAACTCTCTAGTGGCCACAGTGATGACATGGGTGGAGGGCTGAAGACTCCAGCACCCACAGTCTCAGATCTCAGTCTTATTGCTATCACCATGGAGATACCTACCCCTCAGTAGTGGTGGCCTGGCAGTGTTTCTGTTGCTTGAGATCTAAACCTAGCACTACCAATATCACTGTGTGCTTGGAGCAGTTCTCTTAAGGCGCCATGCCTCAGTTTCTTTTTAGGTGGAAGCAGCATAGAATGCAATGAATGACTGATGTTAGCCAGAGACTAACAGTATGGCTTTCTGTCTCACACACTCACATCTGTTTGTACACTTATTTGGAATCAGGTTAGAAATGAAGATCATCAAGGGATCCAGTGGCACTCCAAAGCTCAGCTACACAGGGCGAGACGACAGGCACTTTGTGCCCACAGGCCTGTACATCGTCAGGACTGTGAATGGTGGGTGATGGCTCCCTGCCTCCACGCCACCTCCTTTCCACACTCTGCCTGAGCCGGAGCTAGCTGACAGTGGGGTGGGGGTGCCAGGCTGGTGCTTCCCTGAAGTGTATGTTAGAGGACTGTGTGTCCACAGCCTTTTCTGTTCTTCAGTGGGGCTGGGGGGTGGGTTGGGCGTGGGAAGAGGGCTAGCTTGTAATGCACACATGGCAAGTTTGGGCTCTGTGCACTTGTGCCCTGTAGGGTGATGGTGGGTTGACAGGATACATGTGTGTTTGTTGAGAAATAATCAGTAATCCTCCTGGAGCCCTCTAGGCTGCTGGTGGAGGTGGCATACTCAAGTTGTTCCCTGCCTGTTCTTGGAGGAAGGGAGGTGGAAAGGACAAACAAGAGGGAAGGAAGACACACCCCTGCAATGCCAGACCCACCCCTGTGGGTACTGTGTCCTTTCTGAGCTCTTTCCCCTCTTTTTCCTGTAGAGCCGTGGACTATGGCATGCAGCAAAAACTTCAAGAGGAAATTCTTCTACAACAAGAAAACCAGGATCTCCACCTATGATCTTCCTGCAGATGCCATCGCCCCATTTCAGTGAGTAACCCCCTTCTGAGCTGCCTTCCCTAGCAGCTCCAAGTCCTCCTGCCAGGCGCCAGCCCTCACAGGGCACACCCTGAGGCCTGAGACTGATCACTGCCACACAAGGGCTTCTGTGAGCCTGGGCCAGGTTCTTTCCCTGGGAACACCCAAGTGTGGCCGAGCCGGGTGGTGAGCTCAGTGAGCAGCAGTACCTGGACCTGCCATGATGGTGGGGTCCAAGGTCCTAGCTGTCCCTTATTAGGACCCAGCATCCATCTGCCAGATTCCTGGTCATAGGTTTTGACAGCAGCCCTGTTGCCTAAAACTAGTCACTAACACTTGTTTCTGTCTCCTCACTAACACTGTTCCATTAGAGAAGCACAGACAGACAATCCAGGAATATCAGTAGTTACAGTTCAGTTGGATGTGGTAAGCAGCAGCTGTCTGTTGGAAGAGTTGGTTCTGGGCAGCACAGAAGGAGCTGGTGCCTACTGGGTACCTTTAGGTTACCAGAGAGAAGACCCTCAACTGAGAGGGTCAATGTCACTGTTGCCAGGAGTGGGCTGGTGGGCTCTTGGTCCTGGGCCACCCAGGTATAGCTCTCTAACCTCTCCCCTCTCCTCCTTGCAGCATCTGCTACTATGGCCGACTCTTCTGGGAGTGGGGGGATGGCATCCGTGTGCACGACTCCCAGAAGCCCCAGGACCCAGACAAGCTGTCCAAGGAGGACGTCCTTTCCTTCATCCAGATGCACAGCGCCTGAGGGCCTTGGGGTGTTCCACCCCTGCTGAATGCCCTGTCATTCCCCACAACGGGGCACTCTGCACTTGGGGCTCCCAGCACTGGTTCCTTCTGCCTCTTGAAAGGGGACTGGGGGGAGCTAAGCCTGGCCTTGGGAGCAAATGGCCGCCTCTCTCTGAGGAGCTCAGTCAGGGCCTTCAGAAGACACATGTTCCTTCTGGGACACCATCTGCCTGGGAATTGTTTCCCCTACCAGGACTCAGCCTGAAGGAAGCTGCTCCTGAGGCAGGTTTGTGGTCAGTGCCCAGGGCACGTGGGCTGGTGGAGGACGTGTTAGAGAGTAGCAGGCTTTGGGTTCTGCCGTTCTCTCCAGAGTCCTGTAGACTCATTTTTCTGAGTTCCATGCACTGCCTCTGAGGGTGGCCAGGCCCCTGCTTTGCCCAACTTTTATTGGGCCAATCCTGGGTGGGTGATGGCCCACTGTCACGAGCTGGCCAGGAGCAGCTGTTGTACAAATCAAAGTTTTGTTTCTTTGAACTTGCTCTGTTTTGATGCCAAGTTGGAAGACYTTTTCATCTCTTCCCCACACCCATCCTGGCATTCTTCCCAGCCCAGACCTCTGATAGTCCCGGCAGGCCGGGAAGGAAGAAAGTGGGTCCGACGTCACTGACACCATATTGAGATGCAGGCTGTGCTGTCTTTGGGACTGGTGTGACTGCCTCCTGGGGTTAGAGAGGCTTCCTGGGCCACCCATTTTGATCCAAATGTTGGGCAGCTCAGAGGGCTGGAAGTAGCCTTGAAAACCTGCCTTTGCCTCTCCCCCAGTAGCAGTGGCCCCACCAGTAACAGGTACCTCTAGGGTCAGTACAGCACCAGCCCTCTGGCAGTCGCATACTGCCTGTGCCCTAGCCACCCTAGGGTCTTGGCAGAGTTCTGAGCTGGAGGTAGCCACCCTTTCCTTTGTTTTTCCTCTCCATCTGGAGGTACAGTCTGCTTTTGTCTGTCTCTCTGTGGTCACTCCATTTCCTCTATCTTGGCAGAGGGAGGAGGGGAAGCTGGGCAGCAGCTTTGGGTGGGGGAGGGCATCTGTGGTTGTTTTTTAATGGGAAATACCTCTCAGAGATGTTCATGCAGGCTCCCTAGGGCCCCATCCCAGTGCCAGGCTGGTTTCCATGGAGATAGGGCACTGAGGCTCCCGGCAGGTTGGAATTGACTCCACCATGGGGGTCCTTCAGCCAGCATCCAGCCTCCCACCCCCCAGGCTGGCGGCAGCACCGCTGAGATGCTGTATTTCCACCCAATTCTGGGTATATCAGTGTGTCTTGCAGAATCTTGGATCATTAAAGATAAACATATTTTTAATGCCTGTGTGGCTCTGTGCTGGGGCTGTTGCTATTTGTCCTCAGTGCTTTGTGCTCTGGGACTGGCTTGGATGAGGCAGCCTGGGCCAGAGGTGAAGGGAGAGGAAGCTCTACTCAAAGAAGAGAGGAGAAAAGAAGGTTTGTTTATTCTGAGCCTGTCCAAGCTCTTGGGCCCCGAAGGGCTCGCAGGACTGCTGCTAGAGAAGGGAGCCCAGGAACCTAGGGAAATCACGCAGCTGCTGATAGAAGCAGGGACGGGGGACTGAATGAACCCACAGCCCAAGGAGGGCAGCAAGGCACCTTCCCCCTCTTACATAAATCACATAGCTCACTCTGGTGGCACTGTGACAATCCAGGATCAGTCTGTGACTAAAATAACAGAGGCGTCAGACCAATTAGTGTCACTAGACCAAGGATTGAGAGGGAGAGAGAAATGGACTCGCTGACCCTGGCCAGCCTTCCTCCCCAGGTGGCCAGGCTCCCCCGCCCCCCAGTGGGGGCTGCACTCCTGCTTTAGGGTAGAGAGTATGCAGAAACTGATGGCATCCCACYCCTTTGTCACACGGATACTGGATCCCCCTAATGCCTATACTTTCCTGGGCTCCTTTACCCTAATCTGGTGGTCCCACTGTGACACAGGGAGTTCACCTTAGTGCTCCCAGCCAGTCTCCCTCTGCTGGCTGCAGCACCCACCCTCTTTCTTCCTGGCCTCACTGTGGGAGTGGAGTTAGGGGTATGGTCRACCCCCACCACCTCTTACTGCCACTGTCACCATGAATCTTGTCTTTATCATGGCTCTTGCTGCCTACTTGCTCTCTGGGCCTCCCAGTCCTGCCTGCCTCCTGAGGATGGATTAACTCCGCATTCCTCCGGGACCTCCTACCACTTCAAGTCCAAATCACCCTTCACTGCACAGGCTGCATTTTTCTGCCATAGTTGGAGGTGCTGGCACTGGCTGGAGGGCAGGTAATGTTTGATAGTGGGCAGCAGGTGGCACAATGTCTGCCCACCTTCCCAACTACCCCTTTACCTCTCCCTTCTGAATTCTACACCATGAACTTTTGAATGTCTCTCCTTCCTTGATTCCTGAGTGACTCTCCTGCTGCCCCTCAGCTACAGTCGGACCGTGACATTTACTCAGCAGACAGGAGCAGCCTGATGTTCTTTATTGCCTCTCCCTTGACTCAGGGGGGCGGGGGTGGGGGGAGGACACGTCAGGAGGCCTTACTCCAAGGCCTAGGTGGGGGATGCACCCCGACACTGTAGTCCTCTTGAGACTTGAAGGGCTGCTTGGTCCCAATTAAGGAGCTGAGGGGAAGCCTGCAGTGGCTGTGGGGCATTGCAGACTCACATGGTCCAGTGGGCATAGACCAGGGCCAGGAGGATGAAGATGGCCACCGAGAGCAGCATGTTCTTCCGGTTCTCTTGCCGAAGCAGTTTTAGTTCCTTCTCTGGGAGATAAAGGGGTAGTTGGTATGGGACAGGGAATGGAAGCCATAAGTGTTCTTTCTCCCTTTCCAAAATGGATACACACACCACTAAAGTTGTGTCCCTCCTGTCTCTTACGCTTAAACATGACCTGTCCTTGATCTGCCCAGATCTTCATAACATTTTAGGTACAGATTTTGGCCTAAAAGTTCTAATACCAAGGCTCCTCAACCAGGTTGAGGATGGGATGTGAGGGGTCACCTAAGAAGCCACACCTGAGAGCCAAGCTAAGATACAGTGTAACATCAGGTGAGTCCTCACCTGTCAGTGGGCTCTACAGTGCTCATCCTTCCAGGAGTCTCATCCAGCCAACTGGAAACTCAGTGGAGTCTGGACAGTATCTTGAGCCAGATACTGGGGTGGCTAGGCAGGGCCACATGTGTTTCTTGAGATCCTGCCTTTTGCTGGGGGCTCAGCTCAGCAGAATCTAGGGTTGCTGACAGGAGGCAGCCATCCTCCATTCTAGAGGAAGTCAGTCCTGCTGTTCTGTAGCCACACCCGTGGCTACACCCATATGGGTCCCTCCAAGTGACATGCAGGTGGTTGGTACACCATGAAGGCTAAACTGAGTGGCGATGCTGTGGTGAGTCTGTGAAAACTGCTAAGCTGGAGGGGAACTGAGGCCCCACCCATCATGTGCAAGGGAGGGAGGGACTCACAGGTGGCTCTGGGTGGGCTAGACTGAGCCCAGGGAACCCCAGCCCAACTGTGTTGGGTCGGGTCAGATTGTTCTTTCTGTATTGTTCCCTGGCCAGGCCTGGGCCCCCAGGGGAGAACCAAGAGGGGACAAACTGAAGAACCTGCTACAGATCATTTTCCTCCAACTCTCAGGAAGCTGAGGCTATCAGCCAGCCACACTCCAGCTGCTTGCCCCGCCTGTACTCTACCTGGCCCTGCCCCCAGTGCCCAGAAGGTGGCAGTATTGCTCTACCCACAGGAGCCCTTCCTGCACTCAAGTTTGTGTGTGTGTGTGGGGGGGGGGGGGGCGGGGTATCTGTCAGCCCTACTCCAAATGCAGGATGTTCCTGGCCAGGAGGGGAGTTGTGGTGGCAGTAGGGGGTGGGGGGACCTGGCTACAGCCATACCCCTTCATCCCAGAGGGAAAACAGAACCCTAGGTCATCCTTCTTCCCTTGGAACAAAGAATAGACCAGCTCTCCTCCCACACGGCAGGTTCCTTCAGCCTCCTGGGGCTGGCTCCTTCCCAAAGGACCACCTTGTGCCCAGCCACCTAGTTAGGTTCCYTGGGCTGCCTGGCCCCTCCAAACTCTGGGTCCTGGAGGTCAAGGTAGGTATCTGAAGGGGACTCTCTTACCGTAGTTGGAGGCTCTGCTCATTAGGCTGTTTTTCTCCTTCTCCAGAGACCTCCTGTGGGGAAGGAATTTCATGGCTCAAGCCCTTTTTCTCTAGCCACTTGGGGGCAGCCAGCAAACAGGACAGTGTGAACAAAGGGGACCAGTGCCCAGGTCTCAGGAGTTGACCTAAGGACCCAAACCCTCTGCCTTAAGCTTAGTTCACTTTGGGGACTCAGGACAGATACAAGGGCAGGGAGGGGAGGGGGTGGCTGGTCAGGAGCGTTACCTGTCCTCTGGGCTCAGCTCTGTCCTGTGGAGCCTGCAGTCCACAGCCTCCAGGTCTCTCCKACACTGGGACAACTTTTCCTCCAGCCCATCAATCTGAAACATAAGGCAGATGGAGACAGGTTGCAGAGCTCTGCAGCTAAAATGCCCTGGGATCAGGCAAGTCTCAAATCCACCCTGTCCCAGGCCATGTTCACTTCCACTGGGCAGGGCACCAGGCACCAGTGCCCCAGAGTGTCTTTGCTGTCCTCCACCACTGCATGCTTCAGCTCTGGGCTCCAGCCCGAGTCCCCCTGAAAACAGGGCAGTGGGTGCTGCGAGGGTCTCAAAGCTGTCCTCACCCACTGGACTAAGCACAGGTTGTGGGGAGGGAGGAGCAGCCCCTTGGTCAGCTCTATCTCCCCATCTAAGGCCCAGAGAGCAGGAGCCAGAGCCCAGCAAGGGCAGGCCTGCAACACAAGGCTCGAGGCTCCAGGTGCTCCTCGGGCAGGTGGTTCAGCACCCAGGGCCAAAACACAGAGGTTTTCCTCATCGACAGGCTTGTCTTCATATCTTAGTCCAAGCTGTAAGAACAGACATTTCCTACAGGAATCAATAAAAATTAGCAGGAGGAAAAAAAAAAAGTTACTCAAAACCACTTCTATTTCTGACTTGGTTCTCKTGCAAAAACATTGCCCATCATCAAGGTAGCTGTAACGTGTGGCAAAACAGCTAAGCTCCTGAAAGGCCAGTTGCCAAAGATATCCTTTTCCATTTGTTTTGATTATGGTTCCAGAGGTGTGTTCTTGGGAAAATATTTGAGTTGTGGGAAAAATGTTCCGTGAACTACCAGCAGGTTGTGCAAGCCAGGGCTCAGGATCACGCACTGACAGCGAGCCCCTGCCCCCATCCATCTCTTGACTCTAGTCTTTTGCTAAGTCTCATCGCCTGCCTTTCTAGGYCTGGGCCTGCTCTGCTTCCATGTCAGCCCTGCTAGTGAGAGCCTAGATTTTGGTGGCTTGGTTTCTGGGACTGTGTCCTGCGTAGCAGCTGGCTGCACAGTGCTTAGAGTCCCACCGTATTCCATTTCCCATCTCTGACTTTGCTCATTCTCACCACATCCCCAGGAGGGACAGCAAGCACGACCTCTATTTCACAAATGGGAGAACCTGGCTCCCCAAAGGAAATGACTTTTCTGAGGAGTCGGAGTGGGGCCCCCCTTCTTATCAGTCTCAGCCAGCTCTGTGCACCATTCCTTTTTGGAGTTGCTTCCTGCAAGAAAGAATCCTGCCTCCCAGGTAGCTTGTCAGAGCCCTTGAGTCTCAGGCAGGCATTTCGGGATTGGGTGTCAGGACATCTGAGTTGAAATCTGTGGACCTCTGTGCCCTCCCTGGCCAGCACCCTTCTCAGACACTTTCCCTGGCTTGAGGCCTGGTCCAAATGATGCACCACCCACTACCTTCCCTGTAGCCCCCAGCACTGCCAACTTCAGCCCAGTTAAGCAGGGCCCTGTGGGAGGGAGCAACTGCAGAGCCTCCAGTTAACTGCCTAATTGTGCTGTTTCTCAGTTAATGGTCACCCAAAGGGAGGACTGTCCTGGGAACAACCCCAGCTAGGAGATTGGGCCAGAGGCCTTCCTAGAGCCGCACAGCAGGGAAAGGAACAAGGCTTGGGAGTTAGGCTCAAAGAGCAACAGCTGATGTCAATGCTTCAGGCCACCAAGCAGTTCACCCCGACACAGGGCCCAGGTTCACGGGACAACCATATGTGCACGTAACCCCCTCACTATGAAGCTTTGCAGACTGCCCAGGCAGTCTCAGTTCCAGGTTAGAGCCCTTCCTGCGCCCACTTTAACCAGGACCTGGTTTGTAAGTCATTATAGGGAAGGAGCAGATTGGGACTTTCCATCCCTAAACCCTCTGGAAGGCTACCAGGTGCCCACACAAGTGCTAATTGTCCCAGAGCAAGGCTAGGAATTCATGCTAGGCAAAATCTTAAAATTGAGGTTGGCAAACCCTAAGTAGCCAAGCCAATCTGCCATTATGCTCTGGACAGGGCCTGAGAAGCTGGCAGTTGGGGGCCTTTATCTGAACAAGCCCAATTTATTTGCAGTTCCACTGAATATCTCCACTTTCATTTGCCACTTTTTAATGAGGCTTAAGCGGGCAAACACAAATCAAGGTTTAGGGACTCAAGTTCTAACCTCCCTCTATGAATATTTATGTCCTGCTGACAGCTCTCTCTGATTTCCTTCTAAATAGTGAGATCCCCTTCTTCACAACCCAGCTGCCTGATGTGGGCTGAGGGAGGCAAGGCTGACTGTCAGAGGCTCTTCAGCAGGCCACAGGCACATCCTTAGAAGGTGACCCTGCTGGGTCTCCAACTCTGGGCCTGGCTCAGGAAGCTGGCAACCAACCCCCCTGCAGCACTGTGGAACAGAAGCCAGCTCTCAGCAGCCGTAATAATGGGGAAAGAGACTCTGGGGGACCTGGCTGCATAGGGGGCAGGATGAGGGCATCAGGATATTTCTTTTGGTTGTGACCACAATCGGGAATGGTGGCTACAGACTGACCAAGAAAGAAGGGTCCAAAAGGTGGGAGAGGACCGTCACCTCTCAACTACACACCCATGAATCATGCACGTCACAGACTACAGGCAACACAGAACATGATGGCCAGGACTCCAAACAAGGGGGTTAGAACCAGAGAAAGGACAAGAAAGTCAGGGGTATTCTAGAAGTGTCAAGGTCAGAGCTGGGCAGCAGTTGGGAGCCCAAGTGCCCAGAAGTTTGGAATCACGGTTCCAAGTTAAGTGTACTAGTAGACTCGTGGCTGTGACCAGTGTTTTGGCAGTCATTAATTTCTGTGTGACTGGTGAGTTCCCTAGTTCCGTAGCTTGGTTGACTCGTAAAAATAAGATCATCATACTTCGCATCCCAGAGCATGAAGACGTGATGCAGCGTGGTGTCACAGCGCAGCCTTGCACGGAGGGCTGCAGTACGTGTTTGCTCTTAGCAGAGAGTGGTTTTCACCAGATCTTTGGGGAATAAAAACCAAGTTAACCGGTGGCAAGAGTAAGAGAAGGTGCGAAGTGCAGCATGGGGAAAGGACTCCTCCTGGGTTGCCGGCAGCAGCAGAGGCAAGGAGGCCCTCTGGCTCAGATCTGGCTACTTCTCACAGTCTACCAAGGGCTTCACAGCAAGAAACCTAGAGGGTGTACCATGGGGACAGCAGCACCTCCACTGGCCAGCCCCCAGCACGCTGGGGTTCTGCCTGGGGATGGAGTTGGGCTGGGCCCTGGAGCTAGGGCAGCTGTCCAGGCAKAACAGACTCAGCAGAGGGCTGAGCATCGGAGGACCCAGGGAATGGCAGAAGCCTGGCAGCCAGACTTGGGGTTCACTCACATCATGGCTCTAGGGACCTAGCAGTCAGCTAAACAGCAGACACGTGAGCCCAGAAACCACAGTAAGAAGCTATATTAGACAAACTCCAGTGGGAAGGGAAGGTTACATGGTGAAGGCCATGAAGCCCCCAGGACTCCTGYCTGGCAGGCTGGACAGTGGCAGGAAGATCTGTGCCTGGGACTTGCCTGGAGCTCGAGGGGGCAGCAGTGGAGATCATGACTGTCACTGACAAAATGGAAACAGTGAAGGTGGGCACCTCACTCACAGTGTGGACAATAATACTAAGAAGCATCTGGGTTACGTTTACACTCAGAAAACCAAGGTCAGTTATTACAAAGGGGGGCGGGGCACCATGTCCAAGTCCTGCACCAAGCCAGCAGGTAGAGCAGAGCTGTAGTCTGCAGGTTGGCACAGGGACCCCAGGAAATCAAGGCGGTGGCAAGAGTTCCTTCTAAGTTGGCMCCTCATGGACTAAGGACTTAGCAGGTCCTGTGCAAGCCGTTTGGTGGCAGTGAGACAGGTGGGTGGGCACGTGCAGAGTGTCCTGACAGGAGTGCTGTTCTTGACCTAGAAACCAGCAGTGGCTAACTCCTGCCTGCAGGACCTGCTGGAGAGTCAGCCAAGGGTGGGGGGGGAGCATGGGGAGAAGGAAGAGAAAGGGAGGGAAAGAGGTAGACAGCAGGAGTGGGGTGGGGTGAAGAAGCACCCTTAAGGAGGAGAAAGCTRAAGTTTCTGGGGAGGGCCCTGTGGCTGGGGACCCAGTAAGTCCCTTCAACAGAAAAGCTCCAAGAGAGGCGGGTGCAGCAGGGTGAGCACGGCTGCCTTTCCACACCCAAGCATGGGTTTGACTCAGGAATTGAAACCTGGGGCTCAGTGTGAGGCGGAGGAGCCTCCACAGAGGAGGGAGGCTCCCTGCAGAAGAGCGGGGAGACCTGAGGACAGCCTGGCAGTCAGGGCTGGTGGGGGCTGCAGTGGCCTGAGGGGCCAAGCTGGGCCTTCACTCCTACTGGCAGGTGCCGGGGAAGATTTCCTCCCTCCAGTCACCAGGAAAAAGGGCTTCCTGCAGCCTCCCTGAGAGCCCTGCCTGCACAGCCCGGGCCATTTGCTCCATGCCTCAGCTGGCAGTGCAGCAGCCCCAGGCCAGGAAAATACAACCCCCTCTGCTGCACAGACTTGGGGAATATCACCTCACTCCCAGAGCTCTAGGAAGTCTCCCTGGGGTCCTATACACCATAAAACCACTGTGTTAAGAGAAACTGTAAAATTCCTCTGAAATCCCCATGAGGCATCTTTTCAGGAGTGTGGAGCCTCCAGGAATCAAAGCCCAAATGAGGCCTCTTTGGAGGTAGGGACCTTGSTCTGCTGCACAGATAACTGCCTGAGCACACCGGTCAGGTCAGGCCCTGCGGGGCGCCAGCTCCAGGTACTGCTGCAGGGGGGGTTACCCGCAGCTTTTATTCTGCCCACAAGCAGGAGTCAGCACAAGTCCCAGGCTGTCATTTGCCCCATTTTCCTACTGAGGGTGGGCAGGGCTCTGAATGGTGCTCCCACAGAGCATTTAGATGGCCTGGGAGGTGGCCCTCTGCCAAATCCCTAATGAACCACTGTCCAAGAAAAAGGCAGAGGCACTCTAGGGGCTCAACTTTGGGCCATACAACTCATTGTGCTTTCTGGCTTAGAAAGTGGCTTCCGGTTTTGTTGAGTCTTGTTCCTG